TGTACCGGGACTCACTGAATCTGTGAATTATTTGGGCAGCACTAACCTGAGCTGTTCCAGCCCTCCGCCCACGTGCAGTCTTATGAGATTGTTTTGACATCTCTTGTCCTCTGCTTTCCTTTCCCCTCTTGGTTCCTGTATATTTATCCTGTTCTTACTCCCATGCTGTCATTTCATCAGCATTTTGAGAGGGTTGGGGTAAAACATACGCATGCCATCTTCCATGTTTAGTAAGAATCCCCAAATAACTTACCTTTGAGAGAAAATGCTTTGCATTAAAAGTTCAGAAAACAGAAATGTTACATGCCACGTGAATGGACATCGTCTATCTCTATCTCTACCTACCTATACCTACATTATCTATATCCATATCTGTATCTGTATCTACAGCCATATCGGCAGCACCTATATTTATATCTATGTTATCTGCCTATATTTCTCTCTCTATCTCTGTATCTTTGAGGGAGAGAGGAAGAGAGAGGATGATAAGCTAAATACCAACAGTGATTTCTCTACCTCTCTACCTAGTTACTGTCTTCTGATTTATAGTCTTTAGTATTTTGCATTTCATGCAATGGTCATTTATTTTTTAAATTACTTTGTTTTTAAGCTTTTTATTATAATAAATAACATGCATGATACAAATGCACATGAAACATACATTAGTTGTAAAATGAACGCTTGTGTATTAGTCAGATCAGACTGCCAAAACAAAATACCATAGACTGAATGGTTAAACCTCAAACATCTATTTTCTCACAGTTCTGGAGGCTGGGAGTTACAGATCAGGGAGCCAGCACGCTCAGGCTGTGGTGAGGGCCCTCTTCCTGGCTGGCTGAGGTCTAATTTCTCGCTGTGTCTGCGTACGGCTGAGCGGCAGCTCTGGTGTCCAGTCCTCTTCTTATAAGGGCCTCAGTTCTATAGGGTCACCTCTTCTAACCAGAACCACCTCCTTAAAGGTCCCTTTTCAAATACAGTTACATGGGGGTTAGAGCTTCAACATATGAATTTGAGGGGTCGTAATCCAGTCAATAGCAGCTTTGTGACAAACTATTCATGTCACAAAATGGAACGTTATGAGCATCCCACAAGCCCCTTCCAATGACGTCCTCCCATCTCTGCCCTAGACGTTGCTACTATCCTGACTTTTGGTATTTTGGGTGCCTTTTCATTTATAGTATTACCTCCTAAGTATGCATTCCTAAACAAAATAGTTAAGTTTAGCTTTTTAAAAAAAATTGGTTGAAATGAAATCATGCTTATGTCATCATCCATGTCTGGCTTTTTTGTTCAATTTTATATTCCTGAGACTCATCCTTGTGTGGAGATATAGCCTATTCATTTCCATTGCTGTACATTATCCCATTTTTAAGAACATAACAGAGATACTTAATGTATTTAAAAAGTTATGAGCATGGGGTTGTTTCCGATTTTGGGCTTCTATGGGCAGTGTTCATAAATGTTCTTGTAGCTGTATCCTGGTGCCCATAAGTACATATTTCTGTTGAGTATAATTAGAAGGTCACAGTGTATGTGTGTTTTCACCTATACTTGATAATATCCACTGGTTTCCAAACAGGTTGTACAAATTCGCATTCCCACCAGCAGCATATGAGTTTTTGTTGTTTCATATATTTCTCAATACATGGCATGGTCACAATTTTAAAATTTCCTCATCTGATGAGCATACAGTAATCTCTCTCCCTGGCCGGTTTGGCTCAGCAGTTAGAGTGTCAGCCTATGGACCAAAGAATCTTGGGTTCGATTCTCGGTCAAGGACACATACCTGGGTTGCAGGTTTGATCCCTGGGCCTGGTCAGGGTCATGCCAGAGGCAACCAATCGATGTGTCTCACTCACATTGATGTTTCTCTCTCTCCCTCTGTTTCACTCTCTCTAAAAATCAATGGGAAAATATCCTCAGGTGAGGATTAACAACAACAACAACAAAATCTCTCCGTGATTGTAGTTCACATTTCCTTAATTAAGGAGAAAGTCAAGAATATTTTTATATGTTTATTGATCATTTGGATTTCTACTTTTGTGAGATATGGATTTAAATTTTGGCTGATTTGAAAATTGGTTGTTCAGACATATTTCTAATGGATTTATACAGGCTCATTATTCTGGATAGAAACACTATAGGTATACATGTTGCAAATATTTTCTATTCAGTAAACTTGCTTTTTCACTCTCAAAAAATTGTCTCCTAATTCACAGAAATTCTTAATTTTAATATATTAACGTATGAGTTTGTTCCTCTATGGTTAGTGTTTCTTATTTTCTATGTAATAAATCTTTCCCTAACCTGAGGTCATGAAGATAGTCTCCTTTACTTTTTTATTTTTCCTTTTAAAAGCTTTATGTCTGTGTCTTTCACAACAAAATTTAGAACTTAATCCACCTGGAATTGATTTTTGTGTGTGGTGCAAAGCTGGATGTTCAATGCAATTTTTCTACTGGGAGCCCTGATTCTTCAGCGTCATGTATTGAAGACTGCCCTTCCCCACTGTTCTGCAGGGCCAGCTGTGTCCCAGATTCAGGGTCTGTGTGCACTGGTCTGGTCATGGGCCAACTTTGCTGTCCACTGGTCTGACTGACCATACACATGGCACACTGCTGCAATTATTAGAGCTTTATAGCTAATGGTGATATGCAGGAGAGCAAGCTCTCTTCTGCCACTGTGTCTTTCTTCCTCAAAATGTTTCCACTAGCCCTGGCCAATTTAGATCAGTGGTTAGTGTCGGCCTGTGGACCAGAGAGGCCCGGGTTCAGTTCCCGCTAAGGGCACGTATCTCGGTTGCAGTTTGTCCCCGGCCCTGCTTGGGGTGGTGTGGGTGGCGACCAATCGATGTGGCTCTCTCATATCGATGTTTCTCTCTCTCTCTTCTGCCCTCTCTGGCTCCCACTCTATCTGAAGATGAATGCAAAAATGTCCTTGGGTGAGGATAAAAAAAAGTGTTTCCACTGTAATTTCTTTTTTTTTTTAATCCTCGCCTGAGGATTATTTACCATTTTTGTTCACATAGAGTGGGAAAGAGAAAAAGGAAGAGAGGGAGAGAGCGAGAAACATCGATGTGAGAGAGACATATTGACTGGTTGCCTCTCGCATGACCCCAACCAGGGCTGTGGACAAACCGCAACTGAGGTACGTGCCCTTGACTGGAATCAAACCCACGACTCATTGGTCCTCGGACCGACACGCCAGCTGCTGAGCCAAATTGGCCAGGGCTCAACTATAATTTCTTGCATTTTCATATACATTTTAGAGTCAGTTTATCAAATAATACCAAAAAAATCCATCAGGATTCTGATTGAAACCACATTAAATTTGTTAGACATTTTGGGGAGTCTTACAATATTGTAACTTTGAATCTAGGAATATAATATATTTCTCCATTTACTGAATTTTCTGTATATTACTTAATATTTTAAATAATTTTCTTTATAGAGATCTAACTCATCTTATTTGTAGATACTTTATATTTTAAAATGCCAGAGTAAATGGTATTTTTAAAAGTATTTTCTTTTGGTTGCTGGTATATATATGTACAGTAGATTTATGCATATTAATTTGTACCCAGCTACCTGGTTACACTATTATTAATTCTAATAGTTAATCTCTAAATTATATGGGCTATTTTATGCACACAATCATAGTATCTGTAATTATAGCCTCTTTAGGACTGCTTTTCTTATTCTTACACTTTTTATTTCTTTGCCTCGCCTTACTACACTGGCTAGGACCTCCCTTACAAAGCTGAACAGAACTGATAAAATAGACGTTCTTGTTTCCTTCTGATCTCAAAGAGAAAGCTTGCTCTGTTTCACAATTCAGTATGATGTTTCCTACTTTCTTTAAAGTGGTTACCCTTGCCCCGCTGCTGGTGTGGCTCAGTGGCTGAGTGTCCACCCCCGCACCAAGAGGTTTCCGGTTCAATTCCCAGTCAGGGCTCATGCCCAGGTTGTGGACCCGATCCCCAGTGGGGGGCATGCAGGAGGCGGCCAATCGATGTTCTCTCTCATTGATGTTCCTATCTCTCTCTCCAAATTCAATAAGGAAAAAAAAAAAAAATTAAAGTGGTTACCCTTCATCAGAGTACAACAATTCCCTTCTATTCCAATTTTTCTAAGAGTTTTAAATCATAAGCCGAAATCAAACTTCATCACATAATTTTTCAACATCAATTAAGATTATCCCATGATTTTCATCTTTAATTTATTAGTAGAAAGAGAACATATTTCCTATTGTGCATATCTTAACGTTATAGTCAGAGAAACAATTTAAAAGTTGGAAAGGAGAAAGCTTTAGAGAGCTCCTGTCGTGATGCGAAGGCGTGCCCAGCTTGAGCTGGGGCAACGCCGTCCCAGATGAATTTGGCGCAGGATGTTTTTGGAATGTTCCCACATTCTGAAACGAGAGAGGTTCCATTTGCTAACTAGGGAGATAGCATGATCTCAGAAATATTAAGGTCATTTTGAACTATAGGAGCTATGAAAACTGGGCCAGCTTCATATATGGGTTATTTTCTGAATATATTCCAGAAACGCTTGTTCTTCATTCTGTCTCCGTTTTGTCCCTGCCTCTGTTTCCGAGAGCAGGTCCTTCCAAAGTTCAGTCACGGGTGCTCCTAGCCGGTGAATGTATGTATGTGTTGTAGGGGACTCATCTGCTCAGACCACGGACATTGGATCCTCTGAGACGGAGACACTGGCCTCCATAGTTTTGAAAACTCCCCAGGGGATTCCAATGCAGAGCCAAGGTTGAGAACCACTTAGCTATAGCTCTCTAACGCTGAAAATCATGTGTGTGTTTGTGAGACAAAGTCTATGGAGAAGAAAACGTATGACCATTACAAAGTCAGATAAGCAATAGGATTCCATATTACCCCAATGAGACCCCGAAGAATAAATAAAAGAAGGGGGGAAAAAGCTTCCAAGTGGGGGAAGAGAAAAAATTGACAAAGAGGGAAGGCACCAAATGACAGCAAATCTACTCACTCGGTGTTGTCTGGAAGGTCGCTTCGGGCCATGAACACACAATTGATCACAATAGTGACTGTAATAAATATGGTGAACCACCTGAGAGGCTGTGTTAAGGAAAAGCTGAGAGTCCCCATGTTTCCCTGATGGCATCTGTGATCACCTTGATGCTGAATGATTAAATTCATAACTCTTAGCTAGGATCAGCTTCATGGTCTTGTCACTTAATAACCAGTAACATTTCCTGAGTGCCTACTAGGGGCTGAATACTTCACCCACAATATTTCTAATATAATTATCCTACAGGTAGATATTATGATCTACATTTTGGAGCTAAGAAAACAGGCTGACAAAGCTTAAGTCATTTTTCCCTGGTCACACAGCTAGTCAACCATGATTCTGAACCGTGAACTCAAATCCTTTGATAACAGAACCCTGAGCAAGATGAAAGGAAACAAAATCCCACTTCCCAAAAGTCCTTCTGCACTGAGGACTTCATTTCACTATACAATATGGCCTGAAATTTCATCCATAAATGTCTCTTTTTCCCTAAAAGACAACGAGAATACTCCTAGAAAGTTAGAAGTAAGGGGAGGGCTACAAGCTTCCACGGGAATTGGTTGAGTCAGACGTTTTCCCTAACTTCGCTGAGGTCAGTTGTGAGGAAGTGGAGTTCTGGCCAGGCCCAGTGGAGGCGGCACAGGCAGGGAAATGTGGGTTCAAGGTCAAAATTCCACATAGGATTAGGCTGTGGTGAGAACTCGGAAGAGCCAGAGAGGAGACTCTTAGAGGACAGGCTGGGCAAGGGAATTATCAAAAGTGGAAGGGGGCCCTGGACAGGAAGGCAAGTGGAAGGGGTCAAGAGATGGGAAAAAATGTTGGTGGGGGGAAATGCAACAATCAATTTCTCCCGTTGGACATTTTTTCTAAGAACTAGCTGGGTTCTTAACAATTACGTCCTGAAGAAAAATAAAGCCTGAGGATGATCGTCACCTCCAGAGAGAGTGAACCACTCATCCTTCATCATTTCGTTTTTTTGTCCTTCATAATTTCACCTGGAGCAGAAGTATTTAACTCTGCTTTAGTTTTTGTAAATGCCTTTAATGTGCCTTGTTTTATAGTTACTTAGGAGCACATCTATTTTAAAAATGGAAATTCTACTACTTAAACTACATCATTTCTCTGTTGACTTGTAATTAAAGTAAGAAATGTATTTACATGGGGGGAGGGGTGTGTTAACCAAAGGATTAACTTAAAATCATATCTTCAATTTCATAAACTTCAAAAAGTAATATAATATGTTCTGTATACTATTACTTATAAAAACAGACATGGTGCCCTGGCCGGTTTGGCTCAGCGGTTAGAGCGTCAGCCCGCGAACCAGAGAGACCCAGGTTTGGTTCCCACTAAGGGCACGTACCCCGGTTGCAGTTTGTCCCCGGCCCTGTTTGGGGTCATGTGGGTGGCAACCAGTGGATGTGTCTCTCTCACATCGACGTTTCTCTCTCTCTCTAAAAAAAACAAACAAAAAACAAACAAACAAAAAAAACCAGACATGGTAAATTTGAATAGAATTATAATTTTGATGAAATAATAATAATAGGACACTGAGAATCCTAGACCTTGAAGAGTATCTTTTGAGGCTAGAGCTACCAACTTCATGAGATTTAGATACATAAATGCAGATTTTGATAAGTCCCTGATAAAGAGACCCTCTACACAATTATTCACTCATAAAATATTAAGATAAAAAGAATATGCCTAATCCATAGACACAAACAATAGTGGGGTGAGGTGGAGGCTGGTGGAGGGGGGAAACGAGGAACATCTGTAATACTGTCAACACTAAAAAAAAAAAAAGAATATTCACTGGTCGCTTAGTTCTTTAAAGGGATTTTATTTCTAATTAGCTGTCTCTAACTTATTTGGTTGTAATTCAACCAGGATGCATGGAGAAGATTTTGTGTGTTGCTGTTTTTCTTTATTTGTAATTTTATGTAATTGTACATATATTTAAAAACCCAAGTAGAGATGACATACTGAGAGAATAAATTACCCTAATTCATCTTTATTAACTACCTACTTCTTTGTTGCTGACACTGCTCCAAGCAGGATGCAGGCTGGATACTTTAACTAGTGGGGTGACCTTGGACAATTTACTTAATGCCTCTGAAAGTCAGTTCCATTCTGTAAAATGGGGATGTTAATCACTTCTTCAAGGGTTTCTGTACCTATGAGAGTGTTGACCCTTAGGGAGTATTTAGCAAACGGGAGCCTACTATTATTATGAAAATCCTTTGTAGAATTAAGAAATTCAATTAAGAAAATGTGCTTTCCACTGGTTAACCATAAAGCACGGAAAGGGAAATCGTAACTTCCTGAGGCAGCAGTTTCAGGTTGAGAGGACTAGCCAGGGCAGCCCGCTCACTGGGAGCTGTCCAGCAACCCAGCGAGCTGCTCCAGGCTGCGGGGAGAGAGCTCCTCCTGGAGCCTCCTAAGAAGGGGCTGGCGACCATCTGCCAGGCAGCTGAAGCAAGACGGCTCTTGCAAATCAACCTCCTGGAAGCCAGAGCTGAACTGTCTTCAGGAACTTCCAACTTGGACAGTCATCAGGGAAGGTCCTTGGAAACCAAGCCAAAGTCTTTTCTTTGCACTAGGTTGGCTGGTCTTGGAAAAAACAAAGACACATACAACCCCCGATCCCCCCAAAATGAAGCCAGCTTCTGAAGCTATCTAAAATAATTAAGCAATTAATATAATGCAGACATTTACCAGTGTATCTCTAATCATTACATTCTCCAATAGCATGAACCTTGGGCTATTGACATTTTTAATCTGCTGGTAGCTTTGGGGAAATTTATGGTGTTGGCAGTACCCCATGACCAGTGGGGTCCCACTGAGACAATCTACTCTCTGCCCATTGTGGTCTGTTCTCTCACCTCTCAGGGGGGGTGCTGCTCTTTTGCCCAACAGGCAGCCCTCCCCAGCATGCCTGTCTCATTAGCCCAAAGAAGGCTTGAGGCTTTTACTGGTCTTTACATTGCGGGAAGAGCAGACCACATGCAGTGAGAATGTGCCTGGGATAACAGCAAAGCTCCCCTCATAGAGAACATTTTTCAAGATGTGCATCCATAGGGGTGTCCGTACCAGCCTACATAAACCCAATCCCATCTCTGGGTTGCATGAAGACCTCCTCTGCCTTGGGACTGCTTTCAGGTGTTGGAAAGCCACAACCATGTCTTTCAATTTAATGATTAAAAAAAAAAAAAAAGGATTCAATTGGAGGAAGCTAACCTCTGAAGAAGGGACTGGACACAGTGGGCAAGACCTGATTCTAACATGTGAAGACTCAACCGTGCAAAGGATATTTATGGACAGACACTTTGATGGCTGTTCTTCTGATCAGGTTGAAAGGACTGAATAACCACAGGGCCCGAGTGGCACTAAATCGAGAAATGGTCCTCCCTTTGTTCAGCACTATAAATGTCTAAAACAAAACAAAACAAAACAGAAGGGGGCCTCCAGTGAGATACATGCATCCTCACACAACCATGTTTTTTGAGCATGAATGGCATCATCTCAGGCTCATGAGCAAGAGGGTCTGGGAACCATGGGTCAATGAAAGCCAAATGGAGAAGCATTTGTGGATCGTCCCCAGTCCTGTAATATTTCTTCTGTTCACCACCTCCTAAGTCTTCCCTTTTAAACCCTTCTCTGAGCATCTAGGAGGGTGAGGGCTTGTGGCAGAATACAGGAGGGAGGAAGACATTCCAGTGCCTTTATTTTCTCTACAAACCATATTGGAGATGGCTGATCCCTGCCCCTCCCGACTCCCAAACATGCACACGTTTCGGCTGTGGAGAACACCTACAATCCAATACCAACAGGGTTATTGCCATGGAACAGCTGTTGTTCAAATGAGTGGTTCTCAAACTTTTTGATTTCAGGACACTTTTATACTATCAAAAATTCTTGAGGACCCCAAAGACCTTTTTACCTTTTTGCTTATACTATATGTATGTATGTGTGCACGTGTGAGTTTCTATGTGTGTGTGTGTAGAAATGTAAAATGTAGAAAATTTAAAACTCCAGAATACACAAGCATACATTCCAGTAGCTGTTAGACTAATGATGTCACCCGTCCCCACCAATCAATACCTCTACATTCACTCTGGTCCGTTCACAGAAGAGTGTGAGTGAAAAAGACAAATGCCATCTAAATATTATTATGTAATAGTTTTGACCTGCTGAACCCATTGAAAGAATTCTGAGAACCCCAAGGGTCCCAAGATCATACTTTGAGGACCACTCATTTAAATCATCCTCATTTCTGTTCCCCTTACCTACTCTACCCTCCCTCCAAGATCTCTGCTCTCCACTTGCTCCTCTGGAGATCCTAGGCCAGAACTCATCCAAGGCAACAGTCAACTTTCTCTGAAAACCCCACAATAGTTCTTACTGCTTTTGAGGATGCAGATTTAATTAGCCTCTACCATAAATACCATAAAGATTCAAAGAGAATGTAGAAGAGGTGAATTAGATGTCTTTTTCACTGACTGAGTCTAGCTGACAACTACATCCCTTAAGATGCAGGAAGACTCCTTGGGCTGGGCGGGGCCGCGGCTTCCTCCCCCAGAGCTGAGAACAGGCCTTCCGGCCGGTAGCCCTTACCCGGTGTGCACTGTAGAAGACATCCAGATCCTCCAGGGGCTCCCCCACCAGCTCTGCCGGCAGCTCACCGTAGAACTTGGGCAGCTGGTTACAGGCTTTCAAGTCTAGCTGGGGCCGAGGCTTCTCCTCTTGGTTTTTCTTCCGATGCTCACGCTGCTTACCTTTGGCTTTCTTTGCTGCCTGCTCGGCTGCAATTCTCTTTTCAATCTCCGCCAGGGACTCTGGAGTGAATCGACGGAAGTTGGTAGTTTCCAGGGACCCAAAGGGGAATTCCATCTTCTCATTCTTCTTTAGGAAGAATTTATACTCTTATGAGAGAACATAACCACAGAGAGGTAACAGCCTGCCCACTGGCCCTCTTCCTCCCATCTCGCCCACCTTTTTTGCTAGAACAGCTCCCCTACCCACCTCTCTATTCCTTAACTCACACTAAGCTCCCCGCAGGACGCCACAGCCCCTGAACTGCTTTCAGGGGAAATGATTATTCCTTGAGGTACTGCAGGGTCATGTCTGTGCTCTCCATGAGCTTCTAAGTGATTGCTCCTTCATCATTTTGTAACCCACCACCGCCACCGCCACCAGATTCGCCATATCGCCCTCTCTCCTTGTTTCTATGACCACTGAGCAACGGGTGCTCTCCTACCATTCATCAAAGACCATGATTCTTCAGTCTCATCCTATCTTCTGACCAAAACCTTCAGTTGATTGACATTTTTAATGTTTTACCCACTCCTGAACTCCATTTGAAACTCTAGGCTACTTTTTCTTTGTCCATGACTGAAGACGTCTTTCCATACCCAGATCAGATCTTGGGGCCCACCATTGTGACCATTCCCTTATCCTTTTCCTAAACACCAAGACTGCATCAGTCTACAAGAGTTCAGTTCCGGTTTCTCTGACTCTGGACTGCTGAGGGGTGAGGGAGAATATTATGTTGCTTGGGAATCATATGGTCTTCCTAGGCACTAGTTTTTTCTAGTGTAATACTTCAAAGACTGTTCATCTCTTCTGATTATTCCCTATTTCTCCTTGTAGTAAGACAGTGACCACGTTCCCTACTTCATGAAGAAAACAGAACTCTCTCAACTTTATGCCCCCAGAGCTCCTACTTCCTGTATCCACCCCGCCCCCTTTATTCCTTCCCTCCTATCACAACCAGTAGGGTATCATCCCTCATCCTGGCCAGGGCTAGTCTTTTCCTTCTGTTTTGAATCTTATTCTCTCACTACCTCACTTCCCTGTCCCCACTTGTCTTCTGGCTCTTCCCTATTAGCATTTAGAGATTCTCAAGTCTCCTTCAACCTTAAAATCTCCTTGCAAAGACACCAGAGAACAAATTCAGGGAAAGGTCTTGTCAAGTTCTTAACTAGATGATCCCATTGGCTGTTTTGACTACTTCCTCCTTGAAACATGGTCTCTCCTCAACAGCTCTGACACACTCTCTTGGTGGTTTTTCTAATTTCTCAACCCTTTCTTCCTCCCCGCCCCCCTATATGTCGTTGTGAATCTTAGAGCTTTATGTTATGTGTTTAAAATTTTTGAGTAAGACAATAGTAGGAACATCCACAGCACTGATCATAGCTACTATTTACAGAGATTGTACTATGTTCCAGGCCCTGGATTAAGCAATTTTCATGTATTATCACATTAATCATCGCTGTGTTGTTCTATACGATGTTGTCTCTAATATATACATGAGAAATCAGAACGGCAAAGTTAACTTTACCAAGATTACATTACTAATAAGTGGTGCATCAAGGACTCAATCCAGGTCTGTCTGACACAGTCTCCTGAGAGCACCTCACCCTTCGCATGGCTTTAATCCTCATCTGTATGCAGACGACTCCCGAGCCTTTATCTCTAGCTCTTATGTCCCTGGGGCTCAGACCCCCATGTGGAACCTGCACTTGAATGTCTGATGGACACCTCAAACTCAACATGCACTGAACTAAACCCATTATCATCTCTCCACACCTTCCAAATGCTTGCCTCTCCTCTAAGACTCCCTCTCTCTGTGCATCACCCCAAGCAGCTGATTTCTGTGCTTGGCCACAACCTGCGTATTCTTGTTCTGTCCCTTCTCCTTCGTTCCCACATCCAGTCGGACATCCAGCACTGTTGGTTTTCTCTCCTTGTATCTTATCTCCGTGTATTATTAACCTCTTTATCATGCCCGCGGTCCAGCCACTGTCATCCCAATGGCCTCCTGTGTGTCCTTTTGCTTCCCCTGTGTTCCTTTCTAAACCATTCTCCATTTATAACCGAATGATCTGTCTAAAGTTCAAATCTGGTTATATTATTTCCTTATTTAAAATCTTTATAAAGTTCCCCACAGCACTCAAGATAACCCAAATGGTGTGCTTACCTCTCCAGCACCGTGGTTGCCAGCCACACTATTTTTATTTTTTTCTCCTTGAATCTGTCCCATTCTTTTTTTTATCTTAAGGCCTTTCCATGTTCCCTTTCCTTTGCCTGAAATTATTCCCCCACCTTACTTAGCCTGGCTAATCTGCTATCATTCTTCAACTCTTGGGTTTGCCGTAACTCCTCCATTTCTGATGCTACATGGAGTCTGTGTTAAGGATTCTCTTTTCCTGTTCCCGTTCTCATTGCCTTTTTTCTATAAACCTCACTTGTATTGCAGTTTGCTTTTCTATTTCTCTCACTAACCTGTAAGCTCAGTGAGGGCCAGGAACACATCTATCCTGTTGAACATTGATTCTCCAGGCCCTAGCTCAGTGATTAGCATTCAGTCGATGCTTAATAAATATTTGTTAAATGAATAGTGGTAACTACAAAGTTAAACTAAAAACCAAAGGATATTTTGTTTGGCAAATTCAGCAAAAACCACACATTTAATCGTAGGAAGATAAGGACCAAAGAGATGATCTAGCCTAGTGACTAAGGTTTGCATTCTTCAAAGTCAAGCAAATGTTGAATCCAGGACCCCAGTGATGAAAACCCTGCTTGCTGTCACCACTTCCCCAGGGTCCTGGGAGGAGCCCTCGCCCCTCGACACCCGATACCACCCACCTTCCTTAATGTCCTCCACAACTTCCTCCTGGGAACTTCCTCTGCCTCATTCCCATCTTTCCGCCTTCTGCCCGTTTGTACTTGATCTGTCTCTTCGGGAACCTTTCGAAGTTAATCTATATTGCAGGACTCAACATCTGCCAATCACCCTTCTATTCTAGAAGTTCTCTGTGCTGTGTGCCCATGTCCTGATTAACATGATGTTTTTATGAAATGGTCTCTTAAACATTGTTGACTTAATTGAATCCAATCAGTGTCTTTAATTCTTCCTCTTTGACTAACAAGAGCTAAGTTAGCTCTCCCTTTTTTGTCTGGGGAGAAGAACTACATATATGTTGGACCTTATTTGAGGCCCAGGATTCAGTACAGAGGAACAATGCGAGGACTCCCTCGGGGACTGCAAGGCTGAGAACGGAGCACAGGATGAAGCCAGAGGTGCTAGACCTAGAACTTGAGGTCAAAGCAGGCCCAGCCATGAGGCTGGCTTACTGCCACAAGTCCATAATAATTCTGCTGGACCAAGGACGTGGTTGTTGTCAGGGCTGAGGAGTGAGATTATGCTCACAGGTGGAAATTTGTAATGATGTGATATAGGTATAATGGCCCAGTCCTTTTCCTAAGACTTCCCAGTCAAGGAGAGAGCTCTGGACCTGGGGTCCCTTGATCAAAATGGTCTCTCTTTCTCTGTCTTTTCCATGCCTCCCCACCCCCCGACATGTGAGTGCAAGTAGTCTACTTGAGAGCTAATTCCAAGAAACTCAGAGAAGAGTGAAGACATACAATAGAAAGAAGAAAGCCAGTACTGCTTTCATGATCAGATTACCCTTGTGGGCAACCAGGGCTCCGAATGGCTTCACCGAAGGATAGGGATATTAAGATTTAATCTACCAGTCGTACTCTCACTGGTTGAGTGTCATTCCAGAGAGGTTACTTAACTACAGAACTTATAGCAGTAACCAGAGAAAGCCCTAGGCAGAGATAGATGCAGGAAGTGTCTGTAGGTGACCTCTGGGCCCCTGGGAGAGATGAGCAAGATGTAGACAGTGACTGCTATGTTCCTGGGCTATGTGCAGCTGCTTGTAGCCCTAATTAGGAACCCTTATTTTTCAGGTCATGTCAATGCAATGGGGGAGGCCTGCTCTCTTGGAAGCAGCCATATTGGGCCTATGTATTATAGAATTAGTCTGGGCTTGGGATTCACCTCATGGCTTGATGGCTGGAGAGAAAGCAAGCCAAGCTTCATTCCCAAGCTCAGCCTTAGCTTTGAAATAGTCCACCCCCCTGGCTATTTGTGGTGCATTCCCTCCAGCCCAGTAGCTGTTACCGATAAGCCAGCCTTCCTGTTCAGCAGACATTCGGCCCTCTCGAGATGAGCCAACAGGGCTGTGGTGCTTCCCGCTGCCTTCCTGATGTCAGGTAAGAGGGCTTTTCTCTACTGTTCCTCCAAAGAGCTATACCATCCAGAGCCTGCAGGACTCTCCGGAGGAAGACTGAGCAACCCTCATCCTGAACTCAGTGACGGGCAGACTAGCTACAGGGCTCGCGCTTTCTTCTCCGTGCTGGGGCCCCTCTCTGGTTCCAGCTCCCATGAGCCAGGTCCAGGCCTGCAGATGCCCCCCTCACAGCAGCACCCCTCTCACATCGCATGATCAGTCACAGGGTCCAGCTCAGAGCCTTCGGAGAGGATTTATCGAGTCCCGCATTTGTCCTCAGTGCCTTCTGCAGAATGTTAGTGCACTGCAAACGGGTGGGCTGTGGGGTAAGCAACGCTGGCCAAACTTCCCCCTGCAAATGCATTTGTCAGGAAGGGTGGACGACACTAACCTGTTCTACTGTTCTTTTTATTCTGTAATGGGGTGTTTTTAAGAGGTGACAGCTATTTCTGGACGAGGCAGGCAGATGCAGGAGAAGGCCCAGCTCATGCGTACACAGCTGCACTTGCCAACTGAGAGCCTGCTGGCTGCCTGATGCTCTCGGCTTGCAGCGTATTTGTAAAAATGTGTTCTAAATAAAAGAAATTCTTTAATGTTTCTAATTGGTTGCTTTTTCTTCTAACATGAAGTTTTCTTTTAAAAAGTATATGGCCCTGGCTGGTTTGGCTCAGCGGTTAAAGGGTCGGCCTGCGGTCCAGAGAGACCCAGGTTCGGTTCCCGGTAAGGGCACGCGCCTCGGTTGCAGTTTGTCCCTGGCCCTGGTTGGGTCGTGCGGCAGGCAACCAGTCGATGTGTCCCTTTCACATCGAT